AAATTATAGAAACGCGAGCCGCGTATTCTTCCGCGTCTGTTCATGATTCCAATGAAATCGAGGCCACGTAGTGGTAGCGTCGAGATGCTTCGAAAGGGGTCCTTTCGCCACGGCAGTCCGCTTTTGCTGCTTGGTCCTCGTAGACAACAACAATTACTTCGTTCGATTCACGTGCGCCTCCTGCACCGGTGCAGAAAAGTGTAAGGCGGTGTACTTCCGGTCCTATCTCAATACACATACCGGAAGCAGACTGCCCCACACGTGTCCGCACTGCTGCAGGAGGTGCAGGTAAATAGGGCAAGACTATTATTTCCCGTGCGTATTAAAATTGATCAAAAAATCAAAATTCAGCGATGCCGCAACAAAATAAAGAATGAACTAAAACGTCAAAACAGTTCAGCAGAGCGCCTTTTTTTAGTGTCTACGGCCACACGCGTGGACGTAGCCGAGTCGGTAGGAGGAACGTCATGTCTGCGATGGACGCAGTCCACCCCCCCCCCCTTTCTCCTCCTCCCATCCCCACCCCTTCTCCCCTTCTTCGCCTCCCCCAGTCTTGGTGACGCCAACGAAAGAATCGACTTTTGGTTTGGTTGTTTTGTCATGTGCTCTACAGCCTACGTGATTGTCCCCTCTGAACTACGATGTTGCCAACTGCTGTTCTTGACTGTTTTTTGCGCAACCCATTTCGACTGATTTTTGTACTTTTTTGAAGTGTTCTCCTAACACTTCTTCCCAGTTTAGTGCTCTCTACGTAAATTTGATGCACATAGTGTTCTTTTAATTGTTATTTTAACTTGTAAGTGTTGATTGCTAGACCTTTGTGCACTAGCACGATCGTACCTCTGACACGTCTCTTATTTTGGTTGCCGGTAGTTCGATGGTTAATTACACTGCACGACACTGTTAGCGCGAACAGTACATCAACGATATTTTGAATTTTACTTCGAAAGGGTTTTGACGAGCATCAAATTTTACCTCTTAGGTTAGTGCCTCAAATGAGCACTCCTCATCGCACTAATAGATTAGCTAACAACGTTTTCGTACTAAGACAGAAAAAGAAATTTCGTTGGTTTGTGAGCGCTAACAGTGCAGTGTACATGGTCAAGCATTTTCCATCCAAGAATTGGGTGCATCTAAGTTTTGGTGTTTAGTGGCTTCAGGATTGAGAACGCTTTCCTGGGGTGTCTCACATCCTGCATGATTTGAATGTTGTCATTTTGCACGTTGGCAGTAAAAATACCAGCGATAGTGCTAGCGTATACATTGATAAGTATCACCAACTGGCCATGAGATCTTCGGACGCAATCCGATGATGCAGGTAGCCTTTTCAGAAGCTTTTTCAGATGGGCGAGTGGGTTTCGTTCATTTGGGGAGGAGAGTAGCCACAGTTCTGAGATTCTAACGTTGAGCGAACGGTACCTAGACGTTGAGCCCGCTACTGCAAGAACTCTGCCGCTAGAAGCTCCTTGTATCCATCAGCGGTCTGCTGGACTCTGGTGGTCCGGTAGAAATACCTTTGCTTTTACTCAGCAAGATGGTATCGTTGTTTGAGCATCGCTCTTTTTATTACGTGTTCGTTCCTCGTGTTTTCTCTACTACTCTAAAAAGAAGAGATGTGTGCTCATGAACCGTAGTTCTGTTCATTGTGGAATAAACGTTTTCGTCAATTTTGATTCCTTCAGGTTCCCTGATCAAATGATTGCAGAAGTTTGGTCATGAGTGCAATTAATGCATGTCGTTCCTTTCCTGTGCATCTTTCAGAAGGTAGCCAACTTACTTATAAGAGGAAATACTCTGGGATAAACATGTGTTTCAGCGATACTAGCTGATTTATCATGCAGCTTATAAATGGCAGAAATTTTCTTTAGAACGCGAAATGCACGTGTAGGTTTCCCGCCGTGATTGTACGTGAAATAGGTGGAGGATCTTCTCTACGACGCTTCCCCGCATGGTCCTATGTTTAAAGGTAAAGCGCACTTGCAGGCTCCGCGCTTTCCCGCAGTGCAGAAACAATGAAGGTGAAGCGCATTTAATATTTTCTTGCTTTTTTGCACACCACATCATTGTAGACAGAGCACATTTGCGGGTTACTCAGTCTATCACTTTCCCGCTTCACAATTTTAAAGGAGGAAGCCGCTCTTTTAGGGGTCAAGTTCGTTGCTGAGTTTATCCCTTTACCGCAAGGCGGATTGTTGTAAGAAGGCACATAAAGTGGAAAGAGCAGAGTGTAACATAAAGTGTAAGGAGGCGACAGGAGTACAATGTAGGAGTTTGCAGAGTATTCAGCGAACCCTAGGATTACAGTTTATATTCTCTTTTATATTTAGAATTGAATGGAAAGTATCGTTTTTGTGCTTTTAGAGGATGATGCTTTTTGTTCTGGGCGAACTCTAAGAGACTGTTCATCTCACCTTGTGTGTGTGCTGTGCATGTGTGTGCGCGTGCGTGTGTGCACGTGTGTGCATCTGTGTGTGCGTGTTAAATGGTTTGGTATTGTAGGAAGAGTTTTAGTACAGATCCCTCAAATGGGTGTTATTGTTCTGTGTCTTAGAAGTGTTTGAAAAAAAGGTGCATAGAAATCGGGCCAGCTTTAGGGTGAAGGAAATTGTTTATGCATATATTATTTTATCGTATTTTATGCATATTGGGACGTTGTTGGTGCTTTTGGGAGGTGGGTATAAAAACTTTCGATGTAATAAATTTTGTATCTAAGTTTGAGACGCTGTCGGTTCTCTTTCTTCTGTCCATTCTACTTTGTCTTCAAGTTTCCCTTTTAGTCTCAGGTTTTAAACATCATGAGTATTACGCACCAGCTCACCATCTCTTAGACAATTGTTTCGCTAAAGGAAAGAATCTAAGAGTAGCTGTGGGCCTCGTGATTGATATACCAATTAGGGGGCATAGAAGCCCCTTTCTACCTTACTTAAATATTATACATTTCTAAGTGCCTATGTTTTCTGCTTAGTTCCCTGCTATAAAATATTTCTTATTGAGCTTGTGTAGCACTTTCTACGTTTTTAGAGCGTACTGTAAAAGAAATCCGAAACCAGTAATGTACTGCTCTGTTTCATTCCAGTGCCATATTTAATAATTAAACTCATATTTTTGGGTAAAAAACAGATATTTCACGCATTCAATACCTTATACAATACTCAGTTACTGCCAGTTTAAAATTTTGTCGTCTCTTCCGTATATACCTTTGAATGCGTGCTGAAAACAAATAAAATATCAGAATTTCACCGTTCTTTGTTGCTAAGGTTATACGAATGCCAAAAATTGTGTTTCCTAAGTTTATAAGCGTGTAGTTATAACTCTGCAATACTACAGCAGTTTTATCAGCCTCGACCAGGCGAAGCGATAGGCTACACAAATGCAACAAAGACCGGGATGCCGCGGTAGCAGTTTTGTGCGATCCTAAAAGAAACAAGGAGCGGGCTGAAAGACACGTCCATTCGAGAAGCCGAGCTCAGGGAAATACTGGCGGTGGCCAAATACATTCAGAGCAGCCCGGTGACAACAAGCACGGCCGGAATCTTCACGGATTCGTAGAAAACGATCATCAGCATCAGGAGCAGCAAACCTAAAGGCCACACTGCCAAAACGGTCCAGAAAAGATAAAAGTAGATGTACTTGGTATGTATGTATTCTTGTTAAAGAAGTGCACAAAAGACTAGGACGAAGTAGGGAACAAGCGAAACAGGCAGACACTCACTCGCAACTGGCAGTTTCTTCAAACTTCAAAGGGCGCATAGATAAAAGAAAGGTTCTCTTTCTCACCCCTGCCTCCTTTTGCTCATGCGCGGAACACTTCCCAAACCGGTCTTAAATCTAAAAAAAAAAAAATGCAGTGAAAACCTCCTGGTCATGAATCTTAACTAAAAAGATGCGGCACTGTCGAAGATAAATGCCTTAACTTAGCATCTGTTATGCAATTGAACGATGACTGCTGCAACTCTGCCCCCGGGATTTTATTTGATAGGCCTTCAAAATTTGTATTTCGCTTTCTGGATTCTAAATCTGCAACGCATACAGGTACCAGCGAATATGGGACAGCACCTGCACCCCTCGCAGTGACCCGCAAAATGGCCTGACGGTGTTGAACGGAGCGACGCACAATGGTCCCGTAATCTATCATTGGCGGATAGTTCCTTCTGTCCAATATTGACGTTTCTTCTCCGTGGCAGGTGGTAAGCCGGACTCTTGAAGCCTTTTAGCAAACCTGCCGGCACTTCTTCCATTACTCCTAAAGGAAAACCCGTGTCCTTTAATTCCTTTAGTTGATCTGTAAAGCTTGTTCCTAAAACATGGAAACTTGACTTGTTAAGCGCCGAAACAAGGTATGACATAGAGATGCCTTTCTTTAACAAGTTACAGTTGGCAGACTCGTACGACAGGTGGACTTTCCTTGAGTGGAGACTGCAAGCCCAACAAACATGTTTGCATAATAAACGTTGGGATAAATTAAAAAAAAAATATAGGCAACCATGTGAAGGTGCATGGAAAGAGAACTTGAGTCCTTTTCCAAGGTTGCTGAAGAGAGACCAAACGCGCTTAATGGCTTATTTTCTGACACATGCACCCTGGGCGGATTTAGAATCCAGAGGGCAAGGGAAATATTGGAGGCCTACCAAATAAATTCCCGGGAGGAAAGCTGTATCAGTCATGCTTTCATTGTATTAACAGATGCTGAGGTACGGTTTTTATTTTCGACATTGCCGCATGTATTTAGTAAGGATTAATAACCAGGAGGTTTTTTCCGGGCTTCTTTGTTTTGAAGCCAAAATAAACTGTTCCGCGTATGAACAAAATGAGGTAGGAGTGAGGAACATACACCCTTTTTTTTCTGTGTGTGCAACCTCTAAAGTTTAAGCTTGTGTAGCACGAGGGTCAGCGGCACCCGTCCCGGGTGCCGCTGACCCTCGTGACGCCACTGGTTCAGCGTACAAAGCTAGACTTTCGTTTCAGCTGGCAAGCTCGGCGGATGCTATCAAGCAAGCTACATGCTCAGCTACCAAGTGGACAAACAGATGAAGCCTCACACCATCTGCAAAACTCTGCTTATGCCCTGCATGACGGACGCCGTCGGTGCTGTCATAGGCAAAGAGCACGTAAAAAAATTGGACAAAATACCATGCTCGAACGACACCGCACCACGGAGAATCAAAGAAATGGCGTCTTATGTGCAGGATCAAGTAATTGAAAAATTGAAGTCGGCTGGGAAGTTTTCCCTTGCCATCGGTAAGAGCTGCGACGTATCCGGGTGCTCACAGCTAGTAGCGTTTGTGCGCTTTGTTGATGGCTCTGTCATTGCCGAAGAGCTTCTTTGTTGTCTGGAACTCGAGACCACAACAAGAGGTCAAGACATTTTCAATGCCATTAACAATTCTTTTTTTGTTTCGCGCGGTCTTCGTTGGGACATGTGTGCAGTTGTGTGCACCAACGGTGCTCCAGCCATGGTTGGAAACAATGTAGGTTTTTTAGGGCTCATTAAGAAAGTGAACAGTGCCGTAGCATTCACACATTGTGTGCCTCATAAGGAGGCTTTGGCATCAAAGGAGTTAAGTCCAGCGCTTGCGAGTGCCATGCAACATGTTGTCAAAGTCGTGAACAGCGTAAAGGCAACGCCTAAGGCCAGTCGCCTCTTTAAGGTTCTGTGCGAGGAGATGGGTGCTGAGCACCAGCACCTACTCCTGCACACCTAGGTGCGCTGGTTGTCGCGCGGAAAAGTGCTCGCAAGTGTGTTCGAGCTTAGAGAGGAGCTGAGTGTTTTTTTCGCAGAAGATGGGGCGCTCGCAGATCCTTTTCACGACTCTTTTTTTGTGACTAAGCTTGCCTATCTGTGTGACCTGTTTGAGCACCTGAACCAGCTTGACAGCAGCATGCAGGGGATGGGCACAAATGTCTCTTCTGGGGACAAGGTGAGAGGTTTTTGTAGAAAGCTTCAAAGTTGGTTGAGCCGGGTAAGCAGAGACGACTATTCTCCTTTTAAGCTGCTCAATGATCGTGCAGGCTCTGGGGCAGTATCTGGGAGTTACAGAACCACGATCATGGCCCATCTGAGAACATTAGGGTGCCACATCAAGAACTACTTCCCAGAATCTGCCCCAGACACATGGCTTGTGGCCCGTTTTGTAGCTGACGTTGCTTGCTTGGCATACGAACGTGTCAAAGCTGAAAATGAGTTGATGGAGCTTCAGGAAAACACAGTGATGAAGGCAAGGGTTCCCACTGTGAGCCTTGAGGCATTTTGGTTGGGGACTGCAGAAATGTTCCCTCTTCTCCATGAGATGGTTGTAAAGCTTCTATTACAGTTTTCTACAACGTATGCATGTGAGCATGCTTTTCCAGGCTTGCATACCTGAAAAGTAAATACCGGAACAGGTTGAATGTGGCCGCAGATATGCAACTCGGTTTAAGCGCGACTGTGCCACGTATTGATGAACAGACCAAAATGAAGTGATGCGGCACCTTTGTTTCATGTTCTTCTGCTACGTAGCGATAGAAGGCACCTGTTTCATGCTCCAGATGTGTTAACCTACTAACGTCACCCCCCCCCCCCCCCCACGCTGGAAGGACCCCTTCCAGCGTGGGGGGGGGGGGGGGGGGGTTCTATCACTGCCAGCGGTCCGCAAGAGGTCCCCGACACATCCATGGCTGAGAACCACTGATCTAGAAGATTCGCGTACACTCTTAGCCTGAGCGTAAAAGATAAGGAGGCCCGAATGACCCTGCCTGATCAGTCGCGCCCTGGCTCTTTCCCGAACGTCCTGGGTCGAGTATTCGAGATGACGAGTATAGACCAGTGTCTGCTCTGTTCCATGGGAGCCGACATGTTCGTTTATGCTGACGTCATGACACAGAAGGGGGGCTGCGTTTTTTGAAAGGCTCAGTTTCTTTTAGAAACCTTTGCCCATATCGTATACTTCGTTTCAGCCTAGGCCCGAGCGCGGCCGATGTTATGAGCCGAAGGGCCAATCAAACTGCGAAAAAGGCACAACGTCATGGTGTGCTCTCTGCAGTTGATAGGAATAGCCGGTATTTGCCGTCCCTCTTTGCGTGCTCCTCTGCCGGCTAGTCCTATCAAGCGCAGGGAGCACGCCATGACGTTGCGCTTTCTGCGCTGTTTGATTGGCCCTTCGGCTCATAACATCGTCCGTGCTCAGACATAAGGTGAAACGAAGTATAGTGCAAGAAGGTAAGAAATGCACAGTCACGAAGCTCCAAGAACCGCACCGACGCCAAGAGCGTTGTAAAAAGCAAGAATATTGTTTTTTGCGCAGCCGACCCTCTTTACAAGAGCCTGCGTTTGAGATTATTATTTCCCATTTTTGTCGCTGGGGGCTAGGATATCGGACACTGGTCTATAGTACAAGAAGAGCCGATTGGCCGTACTGCCGATTCATTCGCTGATTTTCTCTCGCGATAACCAACTCTCACGCCGACGCACAATAACTTGTTACTGCCGCCCCCGACGCTCGCTGCTGCTTTCTCTGCGCGGGTTCACATTTTTCGTTTCTGGCACAAGTTCGGCCAAATTAATTCTTTATTTCATTTCGTCTTCTCCTGCCCCATCGTCTGTCATTCGTGCCCATATAAATGCAAATGTGGCAGATATGTAGCACTGTGGACTTTCATAGCAATGAGGTCCTTCCGATCACGAATGAAGAACAGGGTGTTTCCCGCCAAAGCACAACTTCTCACGCACGAAGATGGGTACAAACTTTGCATGTGACTCCATTTGTAGATATAGTGTTTTGTGGTGAAAACGTGGAACTGCTTAAACAGTTCCGGAGTGCTTCTGATTAAATCTAAACCAAAAAAAGCCATTCTTGCCTTCATGCTCATAATCACACAGACAAATTACCGAGAAGACAGATATCCCTGGAACAGCTGGTGTCTTTCAGAAAGTGTTTTATTCAGCGCCTTGAAGTGTTTTAAGTACATAAAAAAACATTTTGACGAATGAATGGTTACTTTCCAACCTCATGGCCCATAGGGTGTTTATAAACCAAACGGCTTGATGAGATTAGTGTAGTGAAGAAGGTAGATGTGCTTGGATTTTAGTGGTACCATAGAAAACAGCTCTTTTTTGTTTGAGAGGTACTCTTTGACTAAAAATTGCAAGTTTGCAACCATCTCGCCAGTAAATTTGGGTGCGAAATCAATATCAACAATTTTTTTGAAGGTTAGGTATACTTGCCGGACTAAATGTTTTGTGTCAGAAACTTTACGGCCAATGAATACAGGCACGAGGTGCAACCTGTTTTTGTTTTTAGTTTTAAGAACTTCACCAACCAAGTTGGTTTTTTTATATTAGTTCAAATGGCTTGCTGGTTGTGAGAGAATCCAATGATTTGAAAGATGCTATCGTAAAGTGTCGGCACTTCAGTAAGAACCAGCCGTATGTGTATATAAAGTTGCGTGCTAGAAAAAGTCGTACGAAACAGGTCATGTGCAATGCAAGTGGGAAGTCCCGTATTACACGCATGAAAGAAAAACTTTAGGCTTTTATATGGACTGTTCTATTTCACTCCTTCAACAGAACACCCAATCTCTTCAACCTCCTGGACAGCCAAGTCATAACTTTGATATAGTTTGCCTTTCATCAGCCGATACGGCTCCTCTTTGAATTACCCCGCAGGGGGCACCTGTGAAAGCAGGTGTTTGGAGAGTGGCGTCTTCACGGACCCCGAGCCCCGCAGGGGGCGCCTGCACCTTAGGTGCTAGGCGCTTGGTGAGTAGCGTCACCACGGACCCCAGCCACGTGGGCCACCATACCCGCACGCAGGGGGCACCTACTTTAGTAGGTGCTTGATGAGTGGCGTCACTACGAACCCCGAGCCATGCGGGTTCGCCCACCCACGTCTGGCTGTGCGTGGCGTACCCGCGTGTCCGGGGAAAAGGGGACCCTGGTGGTTGAGCTGAGCCCGGGGTATGTTTGGACCCTTCGGGGCCCCCCGGGCGAGGCAATACACCGCTTCGACCCCAGCTTCTCGTAGACGGGTGTCCTGGCTTGGCCCGACCAGGATGATTCAGTAAGTCGCCTCTTCTACCCTCTTCTTCCTTCTTTCACTTTTCCTCCCACCTCTTTCACTTTTCTTCTGCGCTCTCTTCCTTCCTTTTTCACCTTCTTAGGCGGCAAGGGCTAACCTTGAGTGGAAACAGGTCCTGTCCCCGCAACCACACTAGGGTATAGTGCCCGGGCAGCACTGGTAGAGTAATTGTGTCAGCCAAGCCTTTCTTGTTATGGCACATTACCTACCCCCTCGTTGGGCTCCATGGTGGGCGGTGCACCCGGGCACTGAAATTCCTTCCTATCTTTATGGGTTCCAGAACTAAACAAACTGATCGGGCCCTGAAAAGGACCCGCACCGAAGTCCTTGACATTTCCACTAAGACCTCTGATCTTTTCAAATTTTCAAAGTTTCTTGTTCTGCACTCTGAGGACGAAAAGCCATTGGCTAAACTTTCTTCATTTTTAGTACCCAAAAAGCTTGAAAATATTATCGGTGCGAACTTTAGCGCCAAAAAGATGGCATCAGGCGACCTCCTTGTTGAGGTAAATACAAAGAAACAAAGTGAATCACTCTTAGCCTTGAACTCTGTCTCAGACTACAAAGTCAGTGTGACACACACACAGAAAGTTGAACACCGTCCAAGGGGTCATCTCTGAAGATGACTTGCTCGACTTGACAGATACAGAGCTAGTTGAGGGTCTCTCCGGACAGGGAGTGGTTGCAGCACGACGCATCACGATCCTTCGCGACGGCATAGAACATAAAACCAGGCATGTCATTCTGACCTTCGACTCCCACGACTCTACCCACTAATGTAAAGGCAGGCTACCTTCAGTACCGTGTCCGGCCTTATGTGCCGAACCCTCAGCGCTGTTTTAAGTGCCAAAGGTTCGGCCATGGGTGGCGCAACTGTAGGGGCAGCGAGACCTGTGCCAAATGCTCTAGTAAGGAGCACGTCGCTATGTGTGTGAGAATGAAGCTCAGTGCACTAACTGTAAAGGAAAACACCCAGCATACTTCCGATCTTGCCCGTTATGGAAGCAAGAAAAAGAAATTTTCACCTTGAAGGTTAATGAAAACATTTCCTACATTGATGCCAAAAAGCGTTTTGCCTTTGTTTCCAAAGGCTCGCATGCACAGATCGTACATAGGGGACCGGTGCGGCGAATAGTTTCGACTAGAACACAGACGTCTACGGACGATCTGCGCCTCCCGTCGAGGTCTCCTGCGTCCTCGGGAGCGGTGCCAGTGACACCGCTTTCGAATCGCAAGGTGGATGCTGCCTCCTCAGCATACACCTCAGGGCAGGGGCTGACCCCCCCTGCTTCACCTGGCCCTTTGGCCCCTAAGGGCCGAGGCCTACCCCCTCGCACCTCTTCTCCCCAGAGGAAGCCCGGGGAGTCGCCGAAGCAGACGACCTCCAAGGGTCAGCTGCTGGCGGCAACAGACGAGCCCATGGACGTAAGTGGGCCCAGGTCCGAGGAGGATGCTCCCCTCTCAGGATCGGAGTCGTCTCTTTCTGTCGCCAGTGACCCCACTTGGAAACAGAAAGATCCTACTAAAAAGCAGAGTACCCCACGTGTAAAAATAGATTTGAAACCTTAACGGATCTCCCTTTCAGGTCACTTTTATATATATATATATCAGTGTGTCGAACCGAAAAAAATACGGGTTCGGTTACGGTT